TTTACTAGAACACCTACAAACGCAACTGAACTAAGGACTAAGATATGTTTGTTTTGTAAGCCAAGAATTTTTATTTTTTTACTTTTTTTATAGCTGATTAATTTATACGAGTGTTAGGAATAGGGGAATTCTACCCAATCTACCGATTGGGTAGAAAGCCTTTTTCTGTAGGAAATAAAGATTATATATATATATTGAAGATATTGATCTCGTTAACAATAATATCATTAAGGTCAACATACAGGGTGTCTCACGGTCAGCGTACATTAGAATATTTCGGGAAGTAATACGATTACCTTTTATCGATTAGATTTGAATCCTGCAAATTTGGATAATGGTATTTTCGGAGACCTGTCCACATGTGTCCGTGTCTTTAACTGGAGTTTTAAACTTTAACTGCTGCATCTAGATTTCCTTTTCCGATAATTCATTATCGAGCACATTATTGTAGCAAACAACGAAAGCAAAATTAGATATTTTCTAATTTTGCAACTGATATTTTGAGTTTTACTCTTTCATCTTTGAAGAGATTTAATTTTAGGCGACACCCTTAATGGTAACATTTTGAGAAAAACTATTTTTTTTCAGAAAGAGATAGAGTAGGGTAGAAAAACGTTTAATGGATGTTATTGGAAATGAAGAGAGGAACACAAAAAACATTAAACAGTGTTCCATTTAAAATAAGTTTAGGACAACTCCGGTATAACCGGAAGTCGCATAATGTCGCTGTTATTTCATCTGAAAAGAGCGTCTCCGAAAATCTCATTTCCTTCCGAAATATATAAGTATCCCTTGACTGAATATCCTACGAGACGGTAGCAATAAAATAACGTAAATGATGACATAGTGTATTAAAAAAATGAAGCAATCTTTATTATACAAAGATTCTCCAATTATTCTTGAAAGAATTTGGGCAATTCATTCCCCAGTATAACCTTTCGCTCAACTCCTTTCTCAGTAATGATTCCTAGACGCACCACACCTCCTGATGATCCATCGCGAGCCATTGCCAGAGCCAAAGCTAAAATTAAAAATCAATCAAAAATATTTCGCTATTAATTTTAATTAAGTCCCACTTTATGCGATTGTGATATAAAGTACTGACTTCAGCAAAAAATGGGAAGGTAGCTCATAAATGCGCCAAGAATCTATCTTGATACAAGAAAATTGTATTGGGTTAAACTCCGACTACTTTGATAGGATATACTGGCGGAAAATAAACTATCGGTGAGAAGGCGTCCCGAACACCAATCGGTAATGGATTAAAAACGTCTTTCTGAAAAAAAATACATCCCAGTGATATACTTACTTTTCAGTACAAACTGGGTGCATTCTTCCTTGGTCATATTTCTTTTGTAGTTTGCATCCACGTATCCATAAACGTAGCTGGATCCTGAACCACCAATGGAAACAGGCTGCCTTACGCACATACCTCCTATTGGAATTGAGTACACTTGTCCCCCTAAATATAGATCGGTGATAGTTATGCGTCTGTACTTAACTCTAAATATGGAAAATGACGATATCTTCAATCAATACAGCGCCAGTTCGTTACCTTTTTGCTTATCCCAACCAGCTACTAGGATGCCAGCCATGAGCGAATCTCGGTAATTGTAGCACAATTCCTTGAAGATATTCGCCCCAACTTCTACTTGCGGTTCTTCACCAAGTTCCATTCTTTTATATATGAGAAAATATCAGGAAATATATACTTGGCATATAGCGTGTTGTTGCATAAATATATCGACAAACTTCCAAGGGTGGTAGAGAACATTTTTGCTTCTCGAGATACAGGATCAAGAAATTATTAGTCTTGTTTTGTTTTTCCGTTAAATAAGACGATAAGAAGAATAATATCAATGCCTAAGCGCCGAAGTTGAGGTAAATTTCTCAAAAACTAATCAACCTTTAGCATGAAAAAACGAAGCGTTTCGAAAATATGTGTAATGTTTTGGTGAAGTAACTAAAAAAACATATCTTTTCCTTCAAAAAAAACCCAATCATATTTCGTCTCCCAGACAAAAACATTTACAAATTAAAGCAACTTTACTACCAGCTACAACAAAAAATTTTCCAGATTTCAACAATCTGAATCTCAAAAACTATTTTAGGCGATAAAACATAATATTTTTGTTTCGACGTTCTCTGCCACCGTAAAAGTTTGTCGATACATTCATTGGATACTGTGTACAAAGAAGTGTTAATAATTACCCATGGAAACATAATTGGTAAGATACGATGTCAGCAATCGCCTGTGTATCAGCAGCTGATCCAGATCGGCAGCAATAAATATAATCACTTATTTTGGTTAACTTATCAGTTACCCGATTAGCAATATATGCCCTGAAAATAAATAAAAAATTCAACTCGTGTCAGTGTAGTGGATTTAAAACGAGAACAGTCCCATAAAACTTTCCAACATTGTCTGGAAACATGTAATTTACACGTTATGCCCTAAATTGAGTCTATGTAACAACTTTCTTTGCACAGCATTAGCATTAGACACGCATTATAGTATCAAGTATCTACATAATTAGGACCACAATATTACCATCTCGGTTTTTTCATTTTCTATCTAGTGATTTCCTTTTTGAATTGCATCAAAACATTAAAATTTTCAAAGTTATCAGCTTTTTACAAAACTTGGAACTGTTGCTCCAAAGCTTTCGATTGTTACAATACAGGGAAAGCACTTACAACAGCAAGTTAATAGAACTACTTCAAGAAATCAAGAAGGCCGGAATTGAAAGTTTTTATTTTGAAAAAAACCGCATTAATGTGTGGTTTTTCAATCAACCATCATATAACAATATCATCCATTTATTCTCTTGAGAAAATCATTCTTCGGATTTATGAGTTATCAATTAGATGTCCAATCTATAACGTACCGTAGTTTTCGATTTATTTAACTAGGTGAACTATGATTAATTAATAATTCAAACACGGTGAAAGAACTTATAATAAAACAGATTACAACAAAAAATTGAACGCTGTTCAAAAGATCGTAGATTCAAATAAAACCTAGCTAACACAGCATTGTGAACAACATTATTTAACTAACATTTACATACAAAGGAAATTACTCTTTGTGCATAGTACATACTGAAAAATAGCTGAATCTCCCAGAAAAAGCGTTGGGGTACGAAATCTGTTTATGACTGTAGTCTTATTTTCGGTCGTAGAATATACAGTTTAAAAATATGCAACTTAATGTCGGGTAACCCTGCATATTCCAAATACTTATCTTGTAAAGTATCAGATGCACAGCATTTTTATGCAGTACTTGATGTAGTTAGAGTACGATTATAGGAAAAAGTATATTTTAGCTGATAAATGGACATCTCGGGCAGGTACATTGCATTGATAAACTTAGCATTCTCTAATTTGGAATATTTGGCGTCCTACTTCTTGCCACTGTTGTGTAAAACATAGCAAGTTCTACATCAAATTCGGTGAAAAACATTTCGTCCTTCTTCACATACCACTACCATATCAAGATCGTATAATTCGGAAATGTTTGTCCAGTATTCATGTAATGTTGTAATGCAATTGAAATACACTTACCCAGTAGTTGTTCTGGAATCGGCCCCAATAACTACGCCCCCTTCAAACTCCGCTGCCATAATAGATGTCTGAAAATATATAGATATTTATGTATGACATGGAATAATTAATATTACAATTAAAGTCTTTATGAAACTATTTGTTACATTTTACCCCTCGCCGAACCCATCGGAACCCTCTACAATACTACTACTACTTTACCCCAGTTGTAAGAGCAGCATTCATCCAATCATTAGATCCGTGCAAAGACATTGCTGTTTTTGAACTCTCCGGAACTTAGAATAAAATGGTCAGAAAATGCAAGCAATATTTTATTTAGAAAACGCTTGTAATGTTATTTGTATTTTATGGTTAACACTGGTTAACACGTCAAAGTCAAATCACTGAATTGTCAGGAGAGAGTTCGAAGGTTATAAAGGGCGCGTCTCGTGTGGAAATATTTTAAGAATTTTGAAATATTTGTTTAAATTTTTTCCATAATAATTTGAAGCAGATGGAATGGAATCATTGTTAGGGAAGAAAAGTTGATTTAATAAGGTTGAGCCATCGAGCTCAATAACAAATTTTATAATTATATACATACATATATTTGCAATAACCAAATTTAATGATATTATGATCGTGTATTAATCAATACGTTTAAATCTGAGAATAAATCTGGCTGTAACCCAATGTTGCAGTTATCAATTGATTCACCTGGCAACGGTGGATTAACCTCCGACAAACAAAAGTGCGACCTGGTGCGACAATCCACAGATTACAGAGTAGAGATTACCTCTGTGATCTGTGCGACAATCTAACCTTAAATTCTCAACGTGGTGTTCATAGATGAAGACAACTAGTGGTGTTACTTTGATGAGTTATGAGCAAAACTGTTTTTATATTTTAAAGCAATGGGTGAAGATATTGAGTCTGAGAAGAAAAAGTCCCATAGGGATAGAAAGTCGGGTAAGTTTTCTGCACATTTTTTAAAGTCACACCGGTTACCCCCGATTTATTATTACTAAAATGTTGACACTATTTCTGTTAACTGGATTCGCAGCGGGATTCTTCTGGAAGTGCCTTCTTCATTCAATGAAGATCGGCAACAATTCCCGCAAATTCGTCTCTGTCTTGGGCTCTTCTCAGCAGATAGTTTAAATATAAGCCTGTCCAATCCCGTATGTTTTTCAACCAAGAGCACTGTCTAAGTCCAGGACCACGTTTTCCCTCAATCTTGCCTCAATAATAATAATAATAATATTAGTTGTAGGAATCTGTACATGTCCTCTCTCATGACATGGCCAAGGAAAGCAGTATTTCGCTTTTTTATGGACTCGAAAATTTTTTTTAGATAAAATTTGTATACACACCTACGTAATTTAATTCAATATATGCTTTCATTTTGAACAAATATGCCTTTCCGAAGTATCTGATGATGGTCATACAATGGGAAAGTGCTTGGTCACACACCTGAACATACAAATTTTACTCAACACGCTTGTCCATCACTCACTTTGCATTTATATTATGTAGAAATAATTTTATCGATATTTATGTAACGTTTCGTTTGAAGGTCGTAAAGCTGACAAGAAGAAAAGCAAAAATCCAAATGTCGAAGAGCTAACCGATAAGCAAAAAAATCCAAAGGCGTTTGCCATTAACTCGGCAATAAGGGCGGAGCGCCGATTTCGTAGGAAGCAAGATATCGATACCAAGAAACAGCATGTGCCCTTAGTTGATAGGTCGCCAATAGAGCCGCCACCGATTTTAATTGCAGTTGTTGGCCCACCGAAAGTGGGCAAAACTACTCTAATTCATAACCTTCTCAAGTCTTTTATTAAAACACCGATTGGTAACATAAAAGGTCCTGTAACAATCGTGACTGGGAAGAAACGAAGAATTACTATTGTGGAATGCAATAATGACATAAATTCTATGATAGACTTAGCCAAAGTATGTGATCTGGCATTGCTTCTATGTGATGCTAGCTTCGGCTTCGAGATGGAGATTTTTGAATTTCTAAATATATGCCAGGTACATGGCATGCCACGAATTATGGGCGTTCTGACTCACTTGGACATGATAAAGAATAGCAAAACACTGAAGACTACCAAGAAAACATTGAAACATCGCTTCTGGACCGAAGTGTATTCTGGGGCTAAGCTGTTTTATTTGTCAGGTATCGTACATGGTGAATATCTCCGAAACGAAATAAAAAATCTGGGCAGATTTATATCCGTAATGAAATTCAGACCATTATTGTGGAGGCAAAACCACAGTTACATATTAGGGGATAGATATGAAGACTTGACAAATCAGGAACTCGTGAGGAAAAATCCTAAGTGTGATAGAACTATTTCTTTATACGGATATGTTAGAGGCGTGCCGTTGATGAAAGAAAATTCTATTCATATTGCTGGTAAGTCTTAACTACTAACTACAGAACTCAGGTTTAGACTATTGCAAAATTTCTAATCTTTTTCTAGGCTTTGGTGATTTACGAATTCACGATATAGCGTTTTTACCTGATCCATGTCCCCTACCGGACGAAATAAAAAAGCGCGCACTGATAGAAAAAGAAAAAATGATTTACGCCCCGTTTTCTGGAGTGGGTGGTATTGTGTATGACAAAGATGCTGTATATATCGAGTCAAAAAATGTTCAAAGTCAAATGAAAAGAGTTGAAAATGAGTCATCTAATATTGTTAACAACTTGATTGAAAGCAAAGAAACTGCAGACTTCAAGTTACAGAAACATCACGAGATGCAGATTTTCGCTGGATCAACAAAGCTAACTGCTGAAGATGTTGACGAGAATATGCAAAATGAAGGGCCAAGTACTTCTCATCGTCAATCGTTCAGAGAGGAGAAGGTTTTAGATTCCGGTAGAGTTAGGAGAAAAGTGATTTTTGACACTAGTGATGCTGACATGATAGCCGAGTCGGTCGGCGAATCCGAATCCGAGGATAATGAAGATGCGAATACTGTAATGCCACAAATTAATGAATTTGAAGTGAAATCGGCTCCAAAACCAAAGGGGTGCGATAGCATTACGTCAAAACTGAAAGAAGTTTTAGGCCAATTAAAGACGAAGGATTCCATTATTAATTCAGAAGCATCCTGTGAGAATTCAGATTCATCTTCTGGGGAAGAAGAACACGACGAAGACGACGTTGAAGATCCGCCAAGCTCTGATGAGGAAAACGAAGATCAGAGTGATAAATGGATGAAAGGAATTCAAAAAGCACGAGATGCTTTCTTAGACCGATATAATAATAATCAAAATCTCATGAAACTTGTTTATGGTACGTAGTCATTAGGTCAAGGAATATTTTTGTTAGAATGCGTCGGAATACTCTGATCGGACTTTCGTTGCCTCTCTAGTTTTTTTCTTGCAACGTAAGTTCGAACAGATATTTTCAAGGCTTATTGTTAACTGCATGTTGTTACATTTTCCAGCTGGTGTACAAGAGGAGTACAGCGTTGACAACGAGGAAACAGTTGGAAATGATGATGAAGAAGAGATTGGAGGAATGTTTAAAAAAGTGTCCAGAACGCAGCATATGTTGCAGTCTCGAAAAGACAATATGAATTTAATAGAGTCCTCCCTAATGTTTCCCTGGAACACTGTAACTAAGGACTGGACAACAGAAGAGGTATATCTGATTTTTACCCAATATCACGATCAAATAACAAATGTTTTTGGTATTTTCAGAACAAGGGATTGATAGCCAATTGCTTTGTAACTGGGAAATGGAAAGATTCTGAAGACGCCAATGAGCTTTTAAGGCTTGATGATGCCGATAATTTAAGCGACTTGGATTCGGACATGTATGGAGATTTTGAAGACTTGGAAACTGGTGTTAAACATGTGTCAAACACAGATAGTACCACTAACGCAAATTCGAAAATCGGTCAGTTGCTAGTTTTGCGTTCCTTTTAAATCAATTGCTCTTTAATAAGTACTTCAATTTTATGATATGTTTCTTCACTTAGGTGTCAAGCGAAAGCATGACGATATAGCTAAACACGACAAAGCTGATCGGGAAGCCTTAGCCGAAAAGAAAAGAAAACTTAAGGAAAGATTTGATGCTGAATATGACAATCCTGATAAGAGTAGTTATTATGATGAATTGAAAATGACAGCTGAAAAACAGGCTCAGCTGAACAAAAGTGTTTTTGAAAATATGCCTGATGATGTTAGAGTTCAAGTGGAAGGTTTCAGGTATACATTTAGATAGTTTATATTTTGAAGTTGATTTAAAACGTTCTGTTGGAATATTTTAGACCCGGAATGTATGTTAGAATAGAATTTGATAGTGTCCCTGCAGAATTTATCACAAACTTTGATCCAACTTACCCTTTGGTGATTGGATCTCTTAATATGGGTGAGGAGAATATTGGATACGTAAATGTAAAAATCAGGAAACACAGATGGTATGGCAAAATTTTGAAAACAAACGACCCACTGATCATCTCGTTGGGATGGCGCAGATTTCAGGTAAGTTATCTGTTCTGAGAAACTTAACTGCTATTGATGAGTGCCATTCTATTCTTTAGACAATACCGTTATATTCGAAACTTGAGGATGATTTGAAGTACAGGTATCTCAAATACACTCCTGAACACATATCTTGTAATGCTCATTTTTGGGGTCCAATTACTCCGCAAGGAACAGGGTTTCTGGCATTGCAAAGTGTCGAATCAGATCCCCAGGTAAGGAATTGTGAAGTGTGGACAAATGAATTCTTACTATGTTTACCATTATTTAAGATATTGAAGAAGAAAGGATTTAGAATTGCAGCTACAGGCTCAGTTCAAGAATTGGATAAGTCTACTCAAATTATGAAGAAGTTAAAGCTTATAGGACACCCGTTAAAAATATATAAGAAAACTGCCTTTATACAGAATATGTTCAATAGTTCCTTAGAAGTGGCTAAATTTGAAGGAGCAAAAATACAGACGGTATCGGGCATACGTGGACAAATTAAGAAAGCAGTTTCTAAGCCAGAAGGCTGCTTCAGAGCAACTTTTGAAGATAAAATTTTATTGAGTGGTAAATATATCTTTTGTTTCCGTTCTCATATGGAGACTATCTATGCTCTAGTGCAACATATTAGGTATTTTTCGACATCCAAGTGAAACTGAATAAGTACATCCATCTTTTATCTTCATTGGATGTACAATGTATTCAGTAGTACATTTCAAACGCTTTTTACTTCATTTAACAATGCCACGCTTGATTAAACCTACACTTTACATGTACTACATGCCAGTCATGTATATTTAAACGCAACAGAAAGTTTTTGGAAAATTATATTGTTATCAGTACTTTCGGGATGTTGTTTAATCGAATCGCATCATCTGCTATAAAACTTGTCAGAAAAATACGGTTTTTCTAAATTCGGCCAGCTTATGTTACCATCATATAATTACGAACAAGGTAATACGATAATCCATATACTTTTAGACATTGTTTTCTGTCGGACCTGGTTTAAAGTAGATGTACAAGAATACTATAATCCAATCACTACAATGTTATTACCCCCTGATCAAAAGAATCAATGGCGCGGCATCCGAACTAAAGGAGAAATTAAACGGGACAAGAACATCAGATATTCCGCAAATAAAGACAGTTTGTACACGGTATGTTTTCCTACATTTTCAGTTAACTATACTTTGTGACTGTGTGACTTTTATTTTGCAGCCGGTGGTCAGAGAATTGGCACCGTTTAAGCCTTTAATAATTCCGAGCAAACTACAAAAGGCGTTGCCATTTAGGGAAAAATTAAACTTTGGTGTTAAGTCATCAGATAAAAAGACGCATCTAGAAAGAGTCGCGGTTATACAAGAACCGCGTGAACAGAAGGTACGCCCAATATCAATGCTATTCAGATATGCTAACTTAATATTTACTACTATGATGATTAAAAACTGATGGTTTTGCATTTAAGGTTACAAACATGATTAAGATGATACGGACTCTCTATAACCAAAAGCAGGCCAAACTTGCAGAAGAAACAAAGCAAAGGTTACAAAAACACAAAGAATCCATTCAAGCTACAGAGGCAACCAAAGACAAAAAAATAAAGCAGAAAAAAAAGGAAGTCTTTCGAAAGAAAAGTAAAGCAGTAACAAGTGCTAACAACAAAGCGGAGAAGTAGAAATATATGTATATTTATACAAAACTACACATTTTTATTTATTAAGCCATTTGATGTGAATTTATTAAACCTTGATAATAAATAGTTTTAGGGCAAGTCAAGTACAATATTCCCAGTTAGTGAGTGTTTATCAAGATTTTTAAAAATTTTGATTACGATAATTCTATAAAATATATATTGAATAATTCAGATATGCCTTCCATATGTAAAACACACATCTAAATGCCCTGAAATATTTAAATCATTGAATGAATAATCTATTATAATAGTAGCAAAAATATTGAAGGAACTGCTTCTATTGGTTGGAGATCCGTGAATTCGTCCGTCGGATCATCGTATAAACGGATGTATGGGACATGGGCTTTAGAAAATATGCATTTTATCGTCTAGGTAAGGCTAGTAGGGGTAGAGTAGAATGAAGGCAGTCGTTCAGAGGATTGTTTAGTGAAGCCATCAACAAATAGGAGGGTGATATTTATCGGTTAGTAACTTGCGGAGTTGTAGTGGTGTAATTGTGGAGCTGAATTATAAATGTTGTTCTTGAAGATTCTACTAAGATGTGTGCGAAGTAGTAGCGTTGTTGCTGTGGTGGTGGCAATGTTGGGAGTTGAGGTTGTGGTTGTTGTTTAGAGGGTTTAGCCCTGTCTGGAGCTGGTTTTGCATGCTCTCCGACCTCTTTTTTATTTGGGATTCAGGAAAAATCCTTCCTGAGAGGCTTGGCCTGATTCGGATTCCTGCGAGCTTCCCGGGTTCATGCATGTCGCCTGTGAAGCCCAAATTTGGTTTACTGGGTGTACACTGGCCGATAAGCGAAATGCATTTTTCGACTGACCAAACTTTTCGATTGGAATTCGAGCAGAATGTACGGTACGGATTGCTACCGAGCAAGTCTTATTCGCAGTAAAGCTATCGCAATACTATAATATACAACAAACAACAAGATAATAATATATACAATGTTTCATTTCTGTGTATCAATATTAATGGCTAAGTAAAACAAAAACGACATTTTCATAACAATATAAAATTTGATTCAGCTAAATTGCTAATATCATTGCTTAATTGCTAGCAAACGGCAACACTAACTGTGGAACTATTATGCCAATTTAATACTGACTGTTGGTTGACTAATTCCCATACATAAGGTATGAAAAACTCTTCAGGTTGCTCTTCTTCGACGTATTTGAACTTTAGATCAGGAAATTTCTGAAATTGAATTAATCTTGGATGTAGTTTATTGTAGTGGGTTGAATTGAACAAGTTTTTTTGTCAAAAGCAGTGCCGGTTTAGTGAAACATGAGACTATATATTTAATATCCAAATTTCAACATTAAATCACATCCAAAGTTAACATTAGATGTAACATATCACAAAATTGAAATAATGTTACTTCTTCAGTCTTCTGGTTTTTTAAAGTAGCCACTAGGTCATTTAATATTGGTAAATCAGGAAAATATACAGTTCTAAAAATATAATAAAAAATATATTTATGCTATACTTACAGCCAATTTATCTCTAGGCCACTGTCGCCCTCCCTGTTGAATAACTTGTAGTACCTGAGATGCATCTACTTCTTGGTGGTTGGATTTCGTATTTAGCAAATCAGAGAAGTATTTGATTACGATATCGATATTGTAAATTATATCTTGAAATACAACATTGTCTCGAAACGCTTCAAAAACCTGTCTGTTATAGAGTAGAGTGTAGATCAGATTTGGATTATTTGTCAACTGCGAAGTTAAGCACGAGTTTATTATCTCAAGAACCATCCTCAGTACTTCTTCGAGTACATTTACATCCTGTTCTAATTCTGTCGAATCATTTATCTGAATGGTGGTCTCATCTAGCTTGATTTCTTTTCCGTTTTGTAGTTTTCTATGCAGTTTCTGGTACTTTTTTGCCATTGTCTCAAATAAAGACACTAATCTTTGGCTTATATAAGGATGTAAATCGCGAAATTGCGATGACATATTTGCTAAGGCGGCTAAACAATTCGTATGTAGATATTTGTCTCTCATTTTTAGCATGTTGTACTTAATCGTACGAATTATAACCAGAATTAATAAACCTCCTAATGATATTTCAGTGAGTTGGCGTTCAGTATACCACGTAATATTTTTTAGTTTCTGAAACAGCCCAAAACAACAAATTAGAAAAAATATATACAAATTTAATATTTTACACTTACGGTTTGATGAATAGTTTTGTTGAAAACATCGTCTTCACTTAAAATAAGTAGAATAATAATGGACATGTAGATGTGATGACTATGGCTATTTGGTGCATTGTACAAAGTTTTTAGAATTGGTATAATCTGAAATAAGTTTAATCAACCACCCTTTCAGAATTAAATATTTAAAAAACAGTTTATGCTCAAATACAAAATTTTTCACTAACTTACCAGGCCCTGTATATCCAGCCTACTTAAAAGAAATGTTTTAAACGAAGCATTTCTATGTAACAACAAATACAGTAGAAGAGTGGGTGCATCTCCATTAGCTTTTTTACAAATAGTTAAGTACAATGACTGAAAATCTAATTTGAAGATTGAATTTTCGTTAGTTGGTGGCAAGGGGTTATTATCTGTGAACAAAAAAATTGAATAGATTTCTAATTTTTCCTAGCCTAAAGCCTGTATCTCATGTATATTTTGTCTGAAGTTTCTTTCCATGATATTTGATTGACTTGATTCATTATAATTTTTGAACCGACGATAAAAATGTCCCATTTTCACTTTCTTATAGAGTAGAGAATGTAGAGAGTGACGCAAAATGTGTGTAAACATTTTAATAATATACAGGGTGATTCACAACCTTATGAACACAGAGCAGGGGCATGTAGAGGATCTCAAAACAAATCGAGTTTTCATTCAAGATTTTTTAGGTTCATGGTTAACAAGATACAGGGCGTTAAAGTCTCAAAAAAAATTGGTATTTTCTCATACAGTTTATGAGATATTTTGCTCAAATTTAATATAGGCTAATGTTAGACCCTTTACCCGTAGGTAAGGCGACTGGATGTTAAAATCTACAGGGTGTTCTTTTTTCTAGAGGTATACCCCTTTTACCCCCCGAACGTGTTTGTTGTGCGCCCCTGACTTCGGCCGAACACATTTGAATTTGTTGTTCAATTTAAGAATTTTCTGATCTCTTGCAGTTTTTTCGTATCTGTCTTCGTTTTCGAGTTATTTGCACAAATATAAGTCCATGTAGGGTTCCTGGGTGATTTTCCATTAATTTTCTTATAATTTTTTTACGTCCTTTTGTTGACATTTCAAGATAAATTGAAAAGTTGGTTACATTTCTGTGTATTTTTATTTAGATTATCTTACAGCCGATCTACGTTTAAAATTTGAACAAAACATCTCATAAACTGTAGGAGTTAAAGAGAAAATACCAACATTTTTTTGAAACTGTAACATCAGTTTGGTTTCTATAAAATAATCGGCTAATTCCCGCTGAAAACTTTATTTACTAATTGCACGTAGAATTTTCTGTCTTCTATTGTAGTTAGATTTTTCAAACATCTATTAAATTAGATTCTAATTAGGCAAAATACCAATTCAATGTATAATTTAATTCAAGTAAATGTAGCGTTTTCGTGTTTATAGTAATTTCCAGAATATCGTCAGTGCTCAAAAGACGTAAACAGGACTAATATACATACATAATAAAGATGATGGGTAAAGATACACAAAATTCTTTGAAGTAATTGCACCCATTGTAATCTAAATGTAATCTAAATAGAAATACAATTGAAATATTTAATTCTATGACTTTCTATTCTTCTAAACTGGTAAAAAACATGTTCAAACAGTATAAAGATTCAAATCAAACATTGCTGCCAAATTTATAATTGAGGTTTTTGCAAAAATGTTGATTCTCAGTGTGAATGAAATGTTTCACAATTTCTTCTGTACTGCCTAAGTATCCCCAGATGAATGACGCAATTTAGAATCACCCTGTATGTTCACAATCTTTTAATCTGCTAGTTCTACCAACAATGGTCCAATCACTTATAATTTAATAATTACCTTGATTTGAACAAGAAAATAAGCTGAGCCTGTAAGGATTGTTGACGGTAGCCCAGTTATGCACCAACACTAAAAGCAATAATATACTTTGCGTGGCCAGCGGAGCCCGTTGGAAATCACTCTGCTCAGATACTTCGGCATCTTCAGATTTTTTTGAAAATGTTAAAATAGACCAAAGCTCTGAAGCTAATCCTAAAAATATGCAAACATTTTTATTATTGAGTAAAACTTTTTTTTACATTCTGCGTAATAAGACTTTCGTGGCACTTCATCACCTGCATGTTGGCAACTTTTTTAGCACTTGACTAACAGTAAGAGCATGAAGCTTGAAAAAGTCAAACTGCGAACGCGAAAAGTGTACACATACGAAATTTCAACTGTGACTGAGATGGGATTTGGGTGATGCGTCCATAGCCGCAACAGATTAGTTTGCGAGGACAATTGAAAAAAAGTGTTGAAAAAATCGACTACGTCGAACTTTTAACTTTTATTTTGTTAGAAGAGGAGGAAAAAGAAGGACAATTCATTAAGAAACAACTTCAGAGCAAAAAAATGAGACGCATGATTCCAAAGTCGTCCAGACTAAGGCTATTTCAATCTTTTCATAAATGACTGTTTAAAACTAGATGATAATAAGTTTAGAGAACTATTCCGGTTAAATCCTGATCAGCTTGATTTTGTTCTATTACTTATAGCAAAGGAGATAGGAAGACCAACCAATTTGGTAAAATTTGGCTTAAAAGTATTAAGATAAAGAAACATTGAAAATGAAATGGCAATTTTTACAAATTTGACAAAATCTGGACGCTTATCATATTAATCCAGAAGTAAATAAGTAAAATAAGTTCAACTTTTTTCTCGTTTGCCAACCAATTCATATGTCAATTTAAATAAATAAATATTTTCACAATTCGGTAAAACTATATGGTGTTACAAAAAGATTGGAGCAATTTCCGATTTCATGGTGATAGAGAACATTCAACGGATATGAAAATGGTATATGTTTTTATCCGTAGACGTTTTTGGATTCGTAAATCGATGGGTGTTTTTGGACATCCTTAATTAAATTGTCATGGTCAGTCTTTCTTTGCGATGAATGGTTTCAGAATGCTCAATAATTATTCAAATGTTTTTAAACTCATCCTTGTATATCCAAAAAACTTATCTTCATATTTTTTCGGCTCTTCAAAAAAAAAAGCAAGTTTCTTCTCGGATTTGCAAAAAAGGATGTACCTAGTACTTCCCAACTATCTTTAGGCTTTTTATATAACATTGATAGAAGTAATAAATGGCCAACGTCCATTTTTGAAATGATTATTGATTACAGAGTTTTAGCCGCAATTGATAGCGGTTTACAATTGGAAGCCGCGGTTGCGGTACCCTAAGGAGTAATTTGCGATCAGCCGAGGGTCGCATTCGCACCACTGAAACCGTATCTTTAAAGTACTTTGCACATAAACGGTTTCGGTCGTGCGTTCCTACTAGAGATGCGTCGGCTCGAGTCGCAGCTAATGCGATTGAACTGGTAGACGGACCAGTCAAATCGGAGACGGAACTACGATTTCGCAGAAATGGCTCCTTTAAAATACCCATCGATTTATGATTTCGAAAATAAAAATTATAACATTTTTGCGGTCAAAGACAATAGATGGAGAAAAACAACCCCTTCAATGAGAAAAATGGTAGGTAAATTGTATTAAGATTTTTATTTAAGGAATTGTTCTTCTTTTCCTCTCCTTCTAACAAAATAAGTGTTAAAAGTTCGACGTCGTCCACACCTAGGTAGCACGTAAGATTGCAATTAACTTTTATTTAAAAAAAATTATCTTCCTATTTAGGCTTAAGAGTTAAACGCCTTCAAATTGGAAAATAAATCAAGTATTTCATTGAAAAACAATTGATAATCATAAAACCCATGACTAAACCACTAAATGTGACTAAATATCATTGAAAAAAATTATTTGAAATATAAATTGATGGTTTCTAAAATCGATTTTCTCTGTGACTTTTCTCAATATTTTTATAACTTCCTGTACGGTAAGTTTTTTCAACACCTCTCTTGAAATGTTTCCACATGCTGCTTAATTTGTTGTTTTAGGTGATCTACACTTGTTGAAGTAGTTCTATAAACAATGTCTTTAGAGTATCCCATAAATAAAAATCTAAAGGTGTCAAGTCTGGGGACTTAGGTGTCCATTGTATTGGTCCATCATTTCCCATCCGCCATCTGCAAAACGGATGTTTAAGTATTCCCGTATAATTTGTGCCTTATGCTGGGGAACTCCGTCCTGCTGGAACATGTGGTTCGCACGTAGATGCCGTGAACAATTTTCGACCATAAGTGACAATTGTTCTCGCAGAAATTTTACATAACCTGCGCTATTAAGGATTCCTTCGTAAAAGAAAGGTCCAATTTAAATCCCGTTTCTGTGGTTTCTTGGACGGGTCATTTTTTCCACTTTGAAGGCTTATAACTCTTAAGCCAAAATAAGCAGATAACTTTGTGTAAATAAAAGTTTATCGCAATCCTAAGGACTACCTAGGTGTGAAAAATTATTGGTATCTTTCTGGGAAAAAAGTTGTCAATGACGTAATTCACGCCATTTCTGAATTTACCATATTTTTTTCTTTTTGCCGAAAGCGTACCTTAGAACATCACATTTGAGACCCTATGATTATAATTTTCTTATCAGTTTTCGTTTTGGCACAGTAGACCATGGGCGTCAAGTTTGGATCACCCTGTGGTGAGGTCACGAATTGATCTTTTGCGGCTAGAAACGCAACACCCAAACCGTACCTTCTACTACTAAAAAAATCAGTGTTGGGCAAAAAAAATAAAAAAATCACTGATTTATTTAAATTAATCAAAAAAATCATGATTTTTTTTCATTTTTATTAAATCAATTGATAAATCCGCTTAATTAGCTGTTTTAAAGTCATTGCAACTGTTGCCGAGAAGATTCAAGCTAAGTTGAATCCATTCAATACTTGTCCGAACGCATTTTCGACGGAAACTTTTTGTCCCAACGGCCCGCGACTCGTTTTCGCACGTTGAGAGATGAACCGGAAATTGCGAAACACTTGCCCACTATAAAACAGTTTCTTTGTGCAACTGCATCGTCTGCGTCGGTCGAAAGGATGTTCAGCACATTCGGATTTGTTCATTCGGATATCAGGAACAGATTGGGAATCGAAAAAGGAGGGAAATTAGTGTTCCTCTTCAG